CTCTCTCTGCCTGCCTCTCTGCCTACTTGTGATCTGTCTGTCAAATTTAAAAAAAAAAAAAAAAAATCCTAAAATGCTATGGCTGGAAAGGGCATGGAAGTCATTCAGATCAAACTTGCCCACCTGCTGCCCCTTTTCCCTAAGAAATAAGGAACATGAGGCCCACTGTGCTATTTTATATTTTAGTTTTCTAGGATCTAAGTAAATAGCCTGTTTAAATTACACACACACACACACACACACACACACACACACACACACACAAATTTGCTAATGAGGAGGACACCCAAATGATATAGGAGGCTTTTTAATAGCTTTTGCTTCTAAAATTTTTCAGTTAGAATTAAAGTATACCTATATCGCCTGAACACACACCCAGATAGAGAAAACCCCACGAGGTGACTAATATGAATATGGAATCTTGGGAAGTTATATATTTTGATTGGACTAGTCATCATTTTAACCAAGGGTTAAAACCCAGCCAGCCCTTCATTTTTCTTTGAAAAATCAAGAATTCCTTAGGGACTTAACCTTCCTCAACCAGCCTTTTCCCTGTCAACCCATAGAGTGGTCTTTTGGCCTGGTTTTTAGAAGTAAGCATAGTTGCTTATAAATTCTTGTGAATCAGTGACAAAGCAGGTATGGGGGGGGGGTCAAGATTCTAGGGAAAGCTGCTGCTGAATAGCTTTTCCTCCAAAGATACAGAAAGTACATCTGTACACATGATTGTTATCCACTGTAATTTTCAGAAAAAGATTGTTCTACAGAGAAAAGAGACATAAGCAGAGGTCATGATCAGCTTAGAGATTGGTTAAATTGAAGAAAAAAAAAGTGCCAAGGCTGAATGTGCACATTGTTCTATGTATTATCAGTATTTTTATTCTTCCTAAAAAAAATATTTACACACTTTGATTTGTGAGTAAATGCTTCCTTAATTCTTGTTAATAAGAGTGGCAGGCTTCCTCTCTACCCTTTCTGGGGTCTTCTATCAACTAGTTGGACAAAACCGAGCGAAGGCCAGGCTTACTCATTTTTTTTTCTCATTTAATAAGTGATAAAAACAGGCAGTGCACTCCTCAAAGATGAAGCTGTTAGAGTTCAAGAGAAGCTTTTGGGCCCTGTGTCTGGAGGGCAGCAGTCAGAGTCTCCCTGGGTGGCCCTGTCCACCCTCCAGCTATGCCACCAGTGGGAGCAGGGCCCCTCTGTCAGTAGGTCTAGTCCTTCGCCTTAAATTCCTAAGGAGAGAATGGAGAACTACCCAGGGGAAAAAATTATCTTCAATGCCACCTAATGGTTTTGTTTTTGTTGTTTCTCCCCATGTGCTGTTTTACTCTCAGTCTGTACACACACAGTTGTAGGGCCTTTTTTCTTCCCACCTAGGAACAGAAAACGGGGTGTATGGTGGTTTCCAACCTGCTGTCTACATTAGAATTGGACACGGGGCCTGGACCCTTGTGGACTTATCACAAATAGCACCTTGACAAAGAAAGACCCAGACCAGGGCAGGCCCTGTCAGGGATGCTTCTGCCAACAAAGAAATGGCACAGAATCAAATAGGATGGTGTGGTTATTTAAACAGTACCGAAGTGCATACTTCAGTGTATGTTTGCCTGCTCAAGGAGAAGCCCACGTTGAGAACACAGTAAAGGAAACTCCTGAAAGCGAATATTCTGTTTCTAGTCAAAAGTCTTAACCTCTAGAGTGCAATCGCAGGCAAATCTGGGCTAAGCTTAGACTAGGTGTGTTTGATTTTTGGAGCTGTCTTTGCTCTGGGAGATGCCCCACTTTGGAATGGCTCGCTTTGGCATTCAGAATGATGGGAGAAATGAGGAGGCGAGATGGGGTTTCCATGGTGTGCGTGTGTCTGAGGTCTAAGTTAAGAATGGTCTATTCAACCATTCTTACTCCAGATGTACAGGGCGAGACTGTCCTTGCAAATTGGGGCTATTCTCAGAACGTCTGATTTTAAAAATACCGGCTTTGGAAGCAGTGCTCAGGAATTCATCAGAATCCCCTTGGTGTCCATTTCTCATCAAACAGAACAAATGTATTGCTGTCCCATCTAAACGTGTAAAACCAATTTGAAGGACTAATGTAGGACATGCTGTATGTGGTGAAGTAGCACTTAAGGGACTTTTGAAATCTGGCCCAAGACTCTTCCAAAAGACAGTTTTTAAAATGACTTGCAAGAAATAAGGCAGCTGCTTGGAGGTATATGAACAGAATAGGATTGTCCCTTGGCCTCTCAAGTACCAGAAAGTGTTCTACACAGCTCACTCATGGATTCCCTGCTAGCTTGGTGTGGTGGAGGGGGGGCCTCATTTACAGATGGGAGGGAAACTCTGGCCCCGACATAGCTTGAAAGTTGGGTCCTCTGACTCCAAGCCACCGATTGCTTTTCCTGTTGCCTGGACTGAGTCAACTCAGGGTGGTGCCCTCCCTCTCTGGTCTCGGCTAACTCTAAGGTTGCATTGCTTTCTGGGTTGGATTTTCTGGACTGGGCCTGCCAGGGGGAGAGAGACCAGAATCTTCCCTCTGCACCCACCGTAGGGGTGGGAGGTATCTTGCAGCAGCAAGCATCGTGAGACACAGTCTGCATCTAAGTTCTCTGTTCCCTCTCCTGCGGCCAGATCCAGCTCCCAAGGAGTTACTGGCATCTTGGATGAGCGGCTAGGACAACGGGATGGCCCTACCTAGTTTTGGAGAATTAGTGGTGGGAGAAATTATTTCTTCTGGTTTGCCCTTGTTAGAGGGCTGTGGAAGGCTCAGAAGAGTGTGGCAGCAAGCTTCCCATCTGCTTATGGAGAAGGAAGGGGGTGCTGGGTGAAAGCAGCCCAGGGGGTCGAAGCTTCTAGTGCAGATGTTCTGTGAGAGTAAGTAACTGCTGGCAGCAGGGAGGGCGGATGCTGCCCAAAAGGCTTCCCCAAATAGTTATGAATTCCTGCTCCTTTGACAATTCTAGTCAGAGGCTTTACTTATTGAGATGTGGACCAATTTATATCTCTTCAAAAAACGACAAAACTCAGGAAAACAAGATTTCACTGCTCGTTCAAGAGCCCTCAAAGTACATTTTTTTTTTTAAAGATTTTATTTATTTATTTGACAGAGAGAGATCACAAGCAGGCAGAGAGGCAGGCAGAGAGAGAGGAGGAAGCAGGCTCCCTGCTGAGCAGAGAGCCCGATGCGGGGCTCGATCCCAGGACTCTGAGATCATGACCTGAGCCGAAGGCAGCGGCTTAACCCACTGAGCCACCCAGGCGCCCCTCAAAGTACATTTTTAACACCAGAAGGACCCACAGAGATTGCAAACCCCACTGTCACTGTAGGTAAGGTTAAATGACCTGCTGCCGCCCCCTGACGGCGCACAGGAGAATGAGGCAGACACACGTCAATTGTGAGAGAAGGGAGCAGCGACACGGGCTTTTCTACCAGCGCCCCTGCTTCCACTCCCTTGCAGCTGATTTGTTTGTGCCTCATTCTTCTCCCATGCGGTCAGGAGACGGCAACCTGTCCTTTATCCTACAGCAAGTAAGAGGGTTAATGCGTGGAACCCTGGTGATGTCATTAAGTCCAGATCACTCTGGAGACAGAAAAGAATGGACACAATTGGTTAACGAGAATACAGCTTCCAGAGATGCAGCAGTTTGCCTGTGTGGGAGGGTGACGAGTAGACGGAGACCCGCCTCGCATACTTCGAACAGGCACTAGGAGAGGCAACCAACTTAGTTACATGGTATCCTGTGTGGAGTAACTGAGTTGAAGAGCGTTTAGCCCAGACAGGTGTAGCCTCTCCAGGATGTTCTCACATTGGCGAGGGCTCTGGCCTGGCTGGGCAGAGGGAGCTCACACACTCCCGAGCCAGTAGCAGTGCTAGGTGTCCCAAGGGACTTAGGCAGACAGCTCAGCCCAGTAGCTAGAACTGTCTGGTAGCTTTACCAACAAAAGAAGGGACAGCCTTTGGAGGGCGAAAGTTCCCGGTCACCAGGGGTGCAAGCAGGAGCTGACGACCTACTCCAGGGACTGCAGAAAGCTTCCGGTCTTGAGGCTGGGATAGGATGTTCCCAAGAGCCTTTCAGGCTGGAGAGCCTATGGTCGGTAAGTGTTTCTGGCTGAAGGGAGCAATCCAGTTCTCTAGCACTGGAGCCCAGCACAGCTTGCAGGGTCACCCCTGGGGTGGTTTCTCCTTCCTAAGGCTAGGGGAAGGGTGGTTTGGGGCCCCAGGAGACCCAACTGCTGAGTCAGCAACACACCTGCCTGCGAATGCCACTGCGGGGTGAGCCTGTACCACGTCTGTCCGTCCGGGTGCCTATGTCACGGGTGGCTATGTGTAAGACTCGTAGGAACGTAGGTGAGTGTGTCTGCTATGACCACAGTTGGCTGTGGTCAGTCCACTGGTTTCTCTAGATCCATCTCTGTAGCAGGTGCTGACTCTTGGGAGACTCACAAAAATGGGGCAACCCCATAGGCTAAGTTGGCCGGAATCAGGTTACCTATGAGCCCAGGCTGGACTTGCACAGCCCGAGGATCCGTTCCTGAGCCCCAGCGTTCGCATGTGGGACCGCAGCTGGTGGCCAGGATTAGAGAACCTTAGGAAACCATGCAACCTTCCGCTCGGCCTGTCCCAACTCTGTGGCCATGGCCATCTGGTAAGGGAATTCCCGATGCTCTCTTCTCCCTCCTCTCCATTTGCCCTCATCATGGGCAAAACTGCCCACCAAAATAAAGCTTCTTTTCAGGGGCCTGGTGACCTCAGTTTTGCCCCCTGCCCCCACAGCATGTATGCTTTGTTGGCTGTGGATGGGTTAGTTCACTTCTCTGAGCTTTAGAGTCTGTGCTGCTTTTCTGTTCCATCAACCCCCTTGTTTTCATGCCAGTGCTCATCACAGCTCTGCTGGGCAGGTGCGACTCAGGCGGGTTTCCCGAGGGATGTGCAGAGCCGGGATCCTTCTCTAGCCTGGCAGCCAGGCCCAAACTACAAGAAAACACACAGGCTACCTTGCTCTATATGCACCTATTCTTTATTGCTGCTTGGCCAGGTGCTGGGTCCTGCCCAGCCTGGGGAGGGGAGGTCCTGACCAGTTCCCCACTCTCTGCGGCCAGCAAGCAAGGCCAGGCCAAGATCTGAGGCCCGCACCTGGCACACCCAGCCCCAAGGTGTGGTCCAGGGCACAGAGCCCTGGGAGGGCGTCAGGCACAGGCAGGGCAGTGCACATGGCCCCGTGCGCAGCCCTTAGCCTTTCAAGTCGCTGGCCGTGGGCCCCTGGCAGAACTCATCCATGAACTCGAGGAAGCGGCCGAACCTAGGCTGGCCCTCGCTCAGGGCTGGGCGGCTCGGGGGTGGTGCTGCAGCCCTGAACACTGTACGCAGTGAGCAGCGCACCAGCTGCCTGTAGCGGGCCTGGAACTCCTTCAGCAGCCGCTTGGCCTCCAGGTATTGTTTCTGGTTCACCAGCCGCCGCTCAGTCTGCTGGCGCAGGACAGCTCCTGCAGGGAAAGAAGCCCGAGGGGCACCAAACTTGCCCTGGTTTCCCCCTAGCCCAGAGCAGTGGGGTCTGCGTCCAGAGCGCTCCCCTCCACCCCCGGAAGTGGGATGGAGTGAAAGGAGGATGCTATGGGGACTGAGAATGGCCTCCCCAGCTCAGGGCAGTAAGAAGCCAGTGGTGTCCCCTCCTGATGCTATCTCAAGCCTTAGTTCTGGTGTGTAACATGCTGTATGAGTCTAGGCAACACCCTGCCTCTCTCCAGGCAGGCCTCAGCTTCTCCGTCTGCACATGGGACAGGGCTGGGGCAGAAGCCAAGGGCCCTGGGCCTCCTGGTGAGCGAACGTCTCGATCTCAGGTTTCGGCTGCTGAGGACGGGGTGGGGGGTCGGGGGTGGGCAGAGCTGTACCTAGTGGAGCCTCTGTAATGTTCCGGGGATCCCGCATGCGAATGAGGAGGTCATCCAGCAGCTGGGCTCGAGTCTTCCGTGGCGGTGGAACAGGGATCCTCTGGGCCTGACACAAGGTAAGAGGAGCCAGTCACCGAGGGTCGGTGCTCAGCCTCCACTCCTCATACAGATGCAGCAATAAGCAGGGGAGTCCTTGGGGGCACTGGGAAAGCATGGCCCTCAGAAGGTGGGGAGGTGATAGCCACCGTGGGGGGAGACCCGTGTACCCGCTTCTTCTTGGGCATGTAGCGTTTCTGAAGCGTGTCCAGCCTGGGCTTGGCGGAGTGGCACAGCAGCGGGCACTTCAGCATGCGCTGCAGGGCCTGCGTGTTCTTCTGGATTCCTAAGGCAAAAAGGTGAGGGTTGGGCAAGGTACTCCTTCTCCATCTGCTGGACGCCTTCCCCAGTGTCACAGCAGCCCTGGGTGCAAGGAATTCAGAGGCCCCAAGACGAACACACTGCCGCATCTCTCTCTGATCTGCTGCAGTGCCTGAACCTCCATCACTCATTCGGTGAATACTCGTCCCCTGGGTGCACTAGGGGAAAAGAACTGACCCCAATATAACCCCATTAAACACAGTGGGTTCCACTACAGGGACGGACTCTCATGACACCACAGCTGAGTGCCAGCAAGTTCCTTTGAAAGCACAAACACTGTTAACACAGTGGTTCAGAGGAAGCACTACCTCCCTTGCCTCAAACCACAGAGAGAGGATGGGGGATGTTCCATTTGCAGCTTAGCTGGGCTGGGAAGGAGCTCAGGAATCCGACCAGTCTAGGTATCTGTTCCTCAAACATCTCCCGCAGACACTTTTCCAACCAGAGCAGCTGGGGCTAGACTGGCTGGAATCTCAGAACACCTGTGGTGCCTCAAAATCCAATGACGGCCCAGGCCAGAGGACCTGATATGGGAGGCTCCAAACCAGGACACCTTCGGGAGCCCTTTGATAAAGGACAGCATCCTGGTCTAGAAATGAGGCTTTGCCGACTTGCTCTGGGCTGTGGAGAGGAACCCTACCTTGGAGCCATTTTCCTCACATACCCTTTGGCTCAACAAAGGCTGGATCAGGCTTGGCTGTCAGCAGCTCCTCGTAGCCATGGTACTTGCTGGGGAGGGAGGCAGTCGGGGGCTTCCTCCAAGCCCCCTTTACCTCTCTGGGTGCTGTGTGGGGTGGTCTTTGCTCTTCCTCCTTTATGGCTGAATCATCCCTCCGGAGGATGGAGGAAGGCAGCTCACCCACCTGTGTCCAAAAGAAAACCAGCTTCCATTAACATGTCTGAGCATGAGCTCTGTGCAGGTCCCCATGCTGGGCCCCATTAAGGGCAAGAACCAAGACTGGGGTGAGAGGACGCAGTCATGCAAGACAGTGATCGTGCACCTTGGTAAGTGCTGGAGGAGAAAGGAGCACAAAGGTTCTGGGTGAGCCCAGGAAGCCCTCACCCCGCCTGCGAAGCCTGGAGGAAGTGAGGCCTTAACCTGCACGAAGTCTTGAAGCAGTGGGATGGCTGTCCCCATGCAGGCGTTGGGAGAGGGGTGGGCAACAAGTGCTGGGGAGAGAGGCCTCCTGCAGGCCATGAAGAGCAGGGACCAAGCCACCCACATAAGTCCTGGCAAGGTGGATCTGGGGGACCTTCAAATTGGTATCTTTGGGGTATACTGTGGAGAAAGGGGCCACTGGAGTAATAAACAGGCTGCAGATCAGTAAGGACTTTAAAAAAGCCAACCTGAGGGTTTTGGTTTGTTTTTGAATCTTCTTTATCCTCATGGAGATGGCAAAGTCAGCAGAAGAGTCTTAAGGGGGTGAGTGACCACTGTCTGCACTCACGTTTTTAGCCTACCCTAATGGTTTTATAAGAGACATACTGCTGAGACTGTGTTTCATATGTAGGGATGTTTATACCCTACACGAAAGAAGAAACAATGTCTGAGCAGATCTGTACCAAGTTGAGATTTCAACAATTCTTCCAAAGAAAAGCCAAGGGCCAGTTAGCTTCACCAGTGAATTCTACTAAGCATTTAAAGAATTAACACCAATCCTTCACAAACTTTTCCAAAAATTAGAAAGGGGAACACTCCTAGCTCATTCTCTGAGTTACTATCCTGAAGCCAAAACTAAGGAAAGACATCACAAAAGGACAATACAGACCAATATCCCTATGAATATAAGCACAAAAATCCTCAAAAAATACTAGCAAACCAAATCAACAACCTGTAAAAAGGATTATATATCATGATCAAGTGGGACTTAACCGTAGGTAGACAAGCTTGGTTAAACATCTGGAAGTCAATCAATGTGATATACCATTTCAACAGATAAAGGACAAAAACTACATGATTGTTTCAGTACACACAGAAAAAGCATTTGGCAAAATCTAACCTGTGACAAAACCCAAAAAACCCACTCTACAAACTAGGAATAGAAACTTCCTCAACACAAAAAAGGATATTTAGGAAAAACCCACAACTAACATCAGAACTGATGGTGAAAGACTGAAAGCCTTCTCACTGTGGTCGGGAGTAAGACATGGCTGCTCTTTTTGCTCCTCTTCCACTCCGCGCTGGAGGTCATAGCCTTGGCCATTCAGCAAGGGGAGAAAAGACTTTTCCCATCACAGTGATTCACAGTTGACTGTATTCCTTTGGCTCCTAGGAAGCCCAGAATTGCATTTTGGCAATACACCTCTGTTCCCAGAGCAACAGGGCAGATGAGCAGGTCAGAGTGAGTGAGACCTTATTTCCTTTCCTGTCCGTATTTTCCTTTCATCCAACTTTCGCGAGCTCATTTTTTTCAAGCTCGTTTTAAAATATTTACTTACACTCTGCTTTGTTCTAAAAGGTTCTGCTATAGTTCATAAAGAGTTTTATATCGTATAAATGTATTTGTCACTGTAAGTCACTTGTGGAATAACGGATGGATGGAGTCAGATGTAGATGTATGCATGTGTATCTTGGAAAGATCTGGCAGATTGGAGGGGTGAGATGGCAGGTAGGGAGCTGAGGAAAGGCAGGGGTATAGGAACACTCGAGGGGTCCTGCCAGCTCCTCCAGCTTCCTATTTCCCTTTTCCTACGTGTCACGCTGCTACCCAAACACTGAACCATTTGTGGTTTCTGCACCTGCCACTTTCTATCCTCTGTAGCCTGCTTCATGCTATTTGCTCTGCCCAGGATGCCCTCCTGCCCACGTTTTCACCTTGTCGCTGTCTACTCAGCCTGCAAAGCTCACCTCATCAGAACCTCTTTCAGGAGCCCTCCTGGTCTGGGCAGAGGATCCTGCTTTCCTCCAGGCTCCCAGTGCCTGGGTTTCCCTTAGTCTCATCCCCGACTGCAAGCATTGTTCCTGCACTCCCCCAGCAGGCTGAGCATAGCTCAAGGGCAGGACCTTCATCTCAGCCATCTGTATTCCCAGGATTCAGAGGCAGCATCAGAAGTGATGTGACCTTATACAGATAGGCCGAGGCAGCGTCAAGCCCTTCTGAAAAACTGGTCAGAACCGTGCCCCAGCCAGGCCCCAGATGCTGTCTGTGCCATAGGACCGTGAACTCTCTCTAGGGGTATCCTCCCACCAGTAGCCTTGGCTCAGTGGAGCTCCCAGACGGGCTTGCAGGCCTGCCAGGGGTGATTCCTTCTGGTTTCCAGACCTGTCTTGGGCTCACTTCTGGCTGCCTATAGCAAGACAGCTATGCCAAGGTCATACAGGAGCCTCCGGGAGCTAGGAACAAGGCAGAGGAAGGAGAACCAGGCACCTGGGTCAAGAATATGGACTCCATGCTCTTGGTGTCCTCGTCTGATAGGTGCTCTGGGCTGAGGCGGCCGGGTCTGTCACTATGGTGGGACATGGTCTCTTCACTGTGCACGGTGGAATCGGAGCAGATGGGAGGTAGGGGCACGAAGGTCCGGTGGGACAGGGAAAGTCCCTCCATGCCCTCAACAGGTATCTGTGACTCCAGAGGACTGCCGGCAGCGGACAGCTCTTTAGTCAGCCCTGCCTCAGACTCTGGGATCTCCTTTGAGGGAGATGGGACTGCAGTCACAGGGAGATGATGGAGAAGCAGAGGCTGCTTTGGCACCTTTGGGACTTGGGTTTTCACCTGTCACGGGAGAAATGTTGGACTGGTTAGCTTCCTAATCAGAATCTCTCTTCCTGGACCTCACCAGACTAAGGCAGTGGTACTGTGATCAGGGTACTGGACGAGGGCTCATAGGAGAGGGAGGGAGCCAAATCCCACTAACTGGGCATCTACAATGTGTCCTGTACCTGGCAGATGTTGCTTGATTTACACCTCAAACTACCCAGGAAATAATTCTTATTCTATAAAAAATATTAAATATTTGTAATTATAAATAATTCTCTTTATTTTATAAAAGTAGAAGCGAGGGCTCAGAGAGAGAAGATGACTTGTCCAAGGTCAGAGAATTATTTGGTGGCAGAGCCGGTATCTGATTTCTGCCTCATTCTACATCCCTGATCCTATCACTCTGGCTCTCAACAGTCTTCTTTTGATGGAGTTTTAACATGGTGCCCTCGACTTTCCTCAGAGACTCCTAGGAAGACCTGGAGGAGATGGTCCTGTCCCTTCTGGAAGGCAGCAGCACCAGGCCCCTTTCAGGATGCTGGTGCCTACACCTTAAATGAAGTTTCATATGGCAAATCTCTCTCAGGGTTCAGAACCAAGGCAATAACTTCTTTCCTGTTGAAATTCTCAGCTTCCTTAATTAGTAAAAGCCCATCCTCCTGGGAGAGAGGATTCTGTACTTATCATCTGGCTCACTCTGATTGGGCCCCTCTCAAGCTGGCTGATGGGAAGGAGACAGTCCTGTCCTTAGAGGAGGCAACAAACAAGGGGAAGATGATGGAAACCTTTTGAACTCCTGTCTATTTCCGGCTTTTAATTCTACTCTGGTCCTCTAAGGGCTCCAAGACTAGAGTTTGGCTAGACAGTGACAGGCTGCAGAGAGAGTCAAGAGGAAGTAACTGTACTTAACTTTCAGGATCAGCAATGCCCAGTCCAGCTTTTAGTCATGGGAAGGCTAAAGTTCAGGAGGGAAAAGCATTTCACAGAAATTTCTGCAATCCTTCTAATGAAGGAGAGATGTGACTTACTTCACAGCATCCCAGAAGGCTGAGAGCACTGGCTGGGTTTGGTCTGGGGGAGCAGAGTGCTCTCAACATAGGGAAATGCTTCTTTATGTGTAAGAGATATGTATTCTACGTCTGGTGCAGCCATTCACGACTCCCACAGGTGGTTAGAACTTGCACAGGTGCGGATTTAGGAGTTTATAACATATTTTTGTATCTGCTGCTTCATCCAGTCCTCTCAGCATCTCAGGGAGGCTTGGAGTTGAGAAGCTGAAGCTCTTGCCCAAGTTCAGGCAGCTGTGGAAAGTGATGAAGCCAGGCTCATCCCTGGGTCTTCAGACCAATTTCTCCCCTACTTCTCCATAGCTCTTTCTCAGGGCCTCAGTTTCTCTGTCAAAGTTGGAGGCAAGATTCCATGACCTTCACAGCTTCTCCCTACTCTGACAACTGGGTCCCTCTGACTGTCTTGTCCTTTTTCTGCGTGTATCTGTGTGTAACAGACAAACAAAGCAGAAGACAAAGCCAGTACTACAGACCTAACAGAAGGAATCCCTGATGAGTGGGAAAGATCAGTTTGCACGCAGTAAAATGGGCTCCATTTCCTCCGGCCTTGGCAGTCCTGCCCTGGAGGCCTTACCTTCCTCGAGACCTTCCGAGGCATCAAAATATGATGCTTAGCCTTTACTATCTTCTTGCGAATCAAGTGGATCCCCAGCCGCTCCTGGAGGAAGCTTTTCAGCAGTGGAGGGACCCCTGGAGCCATGACGGGGAAGATTTCTATTAGTGGATATTTACTGGGGGCTTACTATGCGCCCAGCGCTGTTCAAACTGCCAGACCTGTATTAACTTACATCATTCTCACACCAACCCTGGGAGGTAGGTACCTGTATTATTCCCATTCAATAAGTGAGGAAACTGAGGCACAGAGAGGTTAAGAAATTTGCCCAAGGCAACAAAGATAGTGCAAGCAAGGGTGAGAACTCTGCTGGTGTCACTCTAGGACCCAGGATTCTAAGGTGCCTCCAAGGTAGTGCTGGTGGCATCACCCACCGCACCCACAGTACAACACCTACTTCTGGACACAGCTGCTTGAAACCTCCTGCATGACCCTCTACTTTCTCACCCCCACCCCCTGCTCAGCCATGCCTCCCCTGCAGGCCCCTCCCCAGCTGGGAAGTAGCAAATGAGGTCACAACAGACCTGCTCTACAAAGCCAGGTGTTACTCAAAGATCTCATGCAGGATCTAGCTCTGCCTCATTCTTGCTGTGGGGCTTTGGGTAGATCATGAACTTCCCTGGACCTCAGCATCCTTCGCTGGGCACGGGGACAATGACACCTGCCTCACAGGGTTGCTGTCAGGTAAGCTGGTACAGAAGTGCTTAGCAACGTCTGTGGTTCTCTCCATCCCCAGATGCACCAAGAACCATGTCCACCCATGATGCACAGACGAGCCCAGGACTCCGCCTCAATGAGGTGGGGCTGAGGGTGCCCAGACTGCCCCTGGGCACCAGGATGGGGGCGCAGGTTTGCAGGCACCATACCTCGTGTATGGGACACCAGAGGGTTATTATGAAAGATGAGCTCGCAGAGAGATGGGAAAAGAGCTACTGGCAGGATGGCATCCTCCTTTGCGATCTGTAAGGAAGACAGGGAAAAGCTTCAGGTCAAAGCTGCCCCACCTCTGCCCACGGGCTGCCAGGCCCCATACCGCGGGGCTACGTGCTTGCTAGGGCAGGGGTGGGGCCGGGGACGTGAGGCTGCTGTGCCGGACTCAGGGCTGGGCAGGGTCTGCTCCTGTGGTTTCACCTGTTCACACCCACAGGATCAGGATCCTGTCTGAAATTCCACATCACTGTTTCACGTTTAAAAGTTAAGAATTCTTTTCTCTTCTCCACACTAGAAATGTAGCCCAGACCAAGGAATGGAGGTGTTGGTGACAAAATGAGAATAAGCACAAGGAGTCTGGAAGTATGGCCAGGCACTGATTTTGACTTCAGGATACAATTTGTCTGACACTTCACCTTCCTCAATGCAACCTCTACACACCCCAACAGTCTGTCAACAGCATTCCTGGTGGTCTCTTTTGTTAAGGCCTGTCCTGGACACTAAGCTGGGGACAGACAGAGGGTAGGACAGGGGGGACCCATTCATCTAAGGGAAAAGCCGAGCCAATGATAAGAAGACCTCCCAGCTGTCTGCTCTACCCTCTTGTGGCCAGCTTCTGAAGGGCGAAAAATACCTAATCCTTGCTGAGCAGAGTGGTTGGAACATCCCTGGGAAGGGTGTCTATTAGCAACAGAACACAATAAGCGGGGCCAAAAGTGGATCGGTGGCCTTTCAGATGCACCCTGAAAGTTACTGGGTCAGACTCTGGACCTGTGGAAGGCAACAAGACCTGAGGACTGTGAGACGGAGGGCCCTTCAGTTTGGCTTCCTCTGGAGCCCCAGTGGGTAGCACGAGATGTCCACTGAGCAATGAATCTATCCATTCTTATTTCTTTGTGTTAATTCAATAAACAAGTATTAGTGAATGCCAACATGAAATGAGCAAAACAGCTAGAACTCCTGTCCTCAGGGAGTACTGCCTGTGGGGAAACAGGCACCAAAGTAGTAACAGGAAGGACGAGAGCTCGGCAACTGCGATGAGTGCTGTGAGAGAGGACGTGTCAAGTCCCAGGGTGATCTGGTCCAGGCAGGGAGAGAGGGAAGGCCTCCCTGAGATTTGAATGCTAAGGAGGAGGTAGGGACAGAGTATGCAGCACAGAAACCTCAATATTAACCAAAACCGTTCCCTCTACTTTCTGGGCGCACAGCTACACAGTCTTCGTGCCTCCACGCAGCTAGATGTGCTGATATGACTCACGTCATATGCAACCAGGGTGGAAGGGATCATTTCTGGGCACAGCCCATTTGAAACCTCGTGTGTGACCCACTACGTTTCTTACCCCCTCCCCTACTCAGCAATCAGTCTGCCAGACACAAAGGAGCCAATAAAATCCCCTTCAGGAATGAAGGATGACAGAGACACAGCCAGAAGGGACCTGGGTCTCTGGGAGATCATGTGTGAGGTCACCAGCCCACCTGGAATCCTCACAGTAGAGTCTATGAAATCAAGAAATAGACTCCTACTCAGGAGGTCGTGGGGGAATTTAAGGTGTGTGGCAGCAGCTCACGGTGCATGCTCCGCCTACTGCAGAGAGGAAGTGCCCTACACAGAGAACCATGCGCAAAGGGCCTCACAGCGAGGAGGAGGAAAGCCAGTTGGAGGGACGGAAGGAAGGCCACTTTGATTAACAGCAGAAAGAAAATGAGGCTAGAGATGTAAGTTGGGGGCAGATCAAAGCTAGAAAGATCTTGGTCCCTGGGGGCCTATTACATGAATTTGTAGAAGTAGGAGGACCTAAATATGACAAGATTTGGTCACAGATTAGATATGCATGGCGAGGAGGGATGTAAAGGAGAGAGAAACATTTAGGATAATAGCCAGATTTTGGTGTGAGTAAACCATGTGCTCTTCTCTAAGATATGGGAGATCATTAATTCACTTTGGATACATGTACTTCCCAGTAGAGATTCAGATAGGCAGTACATACACTGGTCTGGAGTACATAGGAGGGTTCTGTGTTGGAATTATAACTTTGTGAGCCACAGTTCATGGGCCAGTGGGTATATGAAGCCATCCCTAGGGGGAAAGTCCAGAGTGAGAGGAGAGGGACCAGGCTCGGCCCCTGAGCAACTCTACATTTGGTCATTGAGACCATGACTTGGCCCGCCTTTTCTGTCAAGGACGAGGGAGTAAATCTTTGAGGCTTTACTGGCCATACTGTCTGTGTTGTAACTACTCCACTGTGCTGTTACAGCACAGAAACCACCAGAGACAATTCATATTATTAAGTGTGATGGCTCTTTTCCAACAAAACTTTAGTTATGGAGTCTGAAATTTGAATTTCATATAATTTTAAAGTGTCATGAAGTAGTATCCTTCTTTTGATTTTTTCAACCACTTAAAAATCAAAGAATTAGTCTTAGCTCAAAGGCTATACAAAAACCAAGGTCAGTTGCTAATGTCTGTGGGCCAAATCCATCCCTCCATCTGTTTAATAAAGCTTCATCAGAACACTGCCCTGCTCATCCATTTACACGTTCCGCTTTGCACTACAAGGCAAAGCTGAGTAGCTGTGATAGAGTAATGTATTTATCCGGCCCTTTATAGAAAACATTTGCTGACTTCTTATCTAGACTCTAGGGAAGAAGGAAGAATCTACAAAGAAGTCTAATATGTGTTGGTAAATAACTATAAAATGGTGATTAAAGAGAGTGCAGAGTCTTTCATATGCAAATCTGGTAGCCAAGAAGCAGTGACAACAAAATGGGGGAGGGAGAATTAAATTTGTCAGGATGCAAAATTCCATCCATCCAAATCAAGTGACTAAAAAGCTGAAGACAAAGTTACAATTAAAACGGATAGAAAGTTGAAAGATATCCGTGGCATGGATGTCATTTTCTGTGAAATTAAGTCCCAGATGAAAGATATGGGCTTGGGATTCTGGCTGATAAAGTGAGGAAAATGTGGCCATTGGGCTAGCCTATGCCCATAAGGTGAACTGAATGCCCTTGAAAATAAATTCAGGATCCAATGACAATTTACTATTTCTGTCCAATTTCATTGGGTTAAGGCAAATACAATTTAACTTATCAAATTTATGAACTAAGTAAATATTAGTTAAAGGCTGACTGAAAGTGATTACTTTGCCTGTTTTTTTTTTTATTTTTTTTAAGAGAGAGGGAGGGAGAATGAGCATTATCAGCCAAGGGGGGAGGAGGAGGAGAAGAGGGAGATATTCTTTTTTGTTTTCTTTTTAAGATTTATGTATTTATTTGAGAGAGAGAGCATGTGCATGTGTACAAGCTGGGGAAGGGACAGAGAGACAGGGGGAGGAGGAATCCTCAAGCAGACTTCCCACCAAGTGTAGATCCCAATGCAAGGCTTGATCCCAGGACTCTGAGAGCATGACCTGAGCTGAAATCACAAGTCAGACACCTAACCGACTGAGCCACTCAGGTGCCCTGAGACAGAGAATCCTAAACAGGCTTCATGCCCTGACATGGGCTCAATCTCAGGACCATAAGAGCATAACTTGAGCCAAAATCAAGCGTCAGACCCTCAAGTGACATAGCCACCCAGGCACCCCATTTATTTTACTTTTGACACAAAACTTATTAGATTTGAGAGGATATTCTAGACATTTAAATTCTGTTTGAACACAAAATAGATTTTAAAATTTGTAACTTTAATAAATGGAATGTTAATTTCAACACAGGTAGCATGAGTATTCCTTGATGTGATCAAAACATCATTCATTCAACAAACAAACTCACTGGGTACCTATCATGTATCAGGTTCTATTCCAGACGATGAGGATATAGTTATAAGTAAAACAAAATCCTACTCTCAAACCTACATCCTGGCAGTAGACAACTGATAATAAAGAAAAAAGATCTATATGTTAGGTGATAAAGAAAAATGTAATTTATAAAGAAAAATGTAATTTAAAAACTCAAGTAAGCATGTAGAAAAATGGAGAGTAGGGGTGCCTAGGTGGTTCAGTTGGTTAAGTCTCTGCCTTTCCCTCAGGTCATAATCCCAGGGTCCTAGTATCGAGCCTGTCAGGCTCCCTGCTCAGAGGGAAGTCTGCTCCTGCTCCTCCCTCTCCCTTGGCCTGTCTCCCCCACTCATGCTCTCTCTCTCTGAAATAAATAAATAAAATCCTTAAAAAAAAAAAAAAAAAGAAAGGAGAATGGAGTGTATTACTCCCCTCCTAACAATAAGAAAAAAGACAGAATAACCTATAACATCATAACTTTTCTTGCATCTATCAGAGAGCTAAGGTCTCAGGGCAATCATGTGGACTGAAATGTAAGGAAAGGTGGGTACCTCCAAGGGGTGATGAGACACAGACACTGGCTCAGGTGTGGCAGAAAATGGGAGGAAGAGATGGTAAGTGCCATACAAGCAACTAGAAAGAAATGAGCTAACCATTTTAATGAGCTGCTAAAGGTTAAGTGTGTACTAGAGCAGGAGAAGAGAATTCTCAAGAGCTGCAGAGAGGAGGAGAATTCATGGCCACTTGTACACAAAAGACTGGACCTAGGGAGCAAGACAAGAGAAAGCCATCCCTGGGGCATAGGCCTGGAGGAGGAGAGCCCCTGCCACTGTCAGAAAGGTAGGAAGCCTGGAGATCAAAAGAAAGCTGGGGTCTCCTTATATCAGACAAATTAGATTTTAAACCAAAGACGATAATAAGAGATGAGGACGGACACTATATCATACTCCAAAGGTCTGTCCAATAAGAAGATCTAACAATTTTAAATATCTATGCCCCTAACATGGGAGCAGTCAGTTATATAAGCCGATTAATAACAAAATCAAAGAAACACATCAACAATAATATAATAGTAGTAGGGGACTTTAACACCCCCTTCACTGAAATGGACAGATCATCTAGCTAAAGATCAACAAGGAAATAAAGGCTTTAAATGACACACTGGATGAGATGGACATCACAGATATATTCAAACATTCCATCCCAAAGCAACAGAAAACACATTCTTCTCTAGTGCATGGAACATTCTCCAGAATAGATCACATCCTGGGTCATAAATCAGGTCTCATCCAGTACCAAAAGACTGGGATCATTCCCTGCATATTTACAGACCACAAGGCTTTGAGAGTTGAACTCAATCACAAGAGAAAAGTTGGAAAGAACTCAAATACATGGAGGCTAAAGAGCATCCTACTAAAGAATGAATGGGTTAACCAGTAAATTAAAGAAGAATTGAAAAAAATTCATGGAAACAAATGAAAGAAAAAAAAAAGGAAAAAAGAAATGAATGGAAAACACAACTGTTCAAAATCTTTGGGATGCAGCAAAGGCAGTCCTAAGAGGAAAGTATATAGCAATACAAGCCTTTCTTAAGAAACAAGAAAGACCTCAAACAGCAACCTAACCCTATGCCTAAGAGAGCAAGAGAAAAAAACAGCAAAAAAAAGCCTAAACCAAGGAGGAGAAAAGAAATCATCAGAGCAGAAATCAATGAAATAGAAACCAAAAGAAAAGAACAGATCAATGAAACTAGGAGCTAGTTTTTTGAAAGAATTAATAAGATTGATAAACCTCTGGCCAGACTTATCAAAAAAGAAAAAAGAAAGGACCCAAATTAATGAAATCATGAATGAAAGAGGAGAGATCACAACCAACACTAAAGAAATACAAACAATTATAAGAACATATTATGAGCAACTATATGCGAGCAAATTAGACAATCTGGAAGAAATGGATGCATTCCTAGAGATGTATAAGCTACCAAAACTGAACCAGGAAGAAATAGAAAACCTGAACAGACCCATAACCAATAAGGAAATTGAAGCAGTCATCAAAAATCTCCCAACAAGCAAGCCCAGGGCCAGATGGCTTCTCAGGGGAATTCTACCAAACATTTAAAGGAGAATTAATCTCTGTTCTCCTGAAACTGTTCCAAAAAATAGAAATGGAAGGAAAACTTCCAAACTCATTTTATGAGGCCAGCATTACCTTGATCCTAAAACCAGACAAAGATCCCACCAAAAAAGAGAATTACAGACCAATATCCTTGATGAACACAGATGCAAAAATTCTCACCAAGATACTAGCCAATAGGATCCAACAGTACATTAAAAGGATTATTCACCTCGACCAATTGGGATTTATTTCTGGGCTGCAAGGTTGGTTCAACTTCCGCAAATCAATCAGTGTGATACAATACATTAATAAAAGAAAGAACAAAAACATATGATACTCTCCATAGATGCTGAAAAAGCATTTGACAAAGTACAGCATCCTTTCTTGATCAAAACTCCTCAAAGTGTAGGGATAGAGGGTATATACCTCAATATCATCAAAGCTACCTATGAAAAACCCACAGCAAATATCATTCTCAATGGGGAAAACTGAGAGCTTTTCCCGTAAGGTCAGGAACACGGCAGGGATGTCCACTATCACCATGGCTATTCAACATAGTACTAGAAGTCCTGGCCGCAGCAATCAGACAATAAAAAGAAATAAAAGGCATCCGAATCAGCAAAGAAGTAGTCAAACTCTCACTCTTTTGCAGATGATACGATTCTTTATGTGGAAAACCCAAAAGACTCCACTCCAAAAAATGCTAGAACTCCTACAGGAATTCAGTAAAGTGTCAGGTTATAAAATCAATGCAGAGAAATCAGTTGCATGCATTTCTATACACCAACAGCAAGACAGAAGAAAGAGAAATTAAGGAGTTAATCCCATTTACAATTGCACCCAAAACCATAAGATAACTAGGAAGACACCTAACCAAAGAGGCAAAGAATCTGTACTCAGAAAACTTTGGAATACTCATGAAAGAAATTGAGGAAGACACAAAGAAATGGAAAAATGTTCCATGCTCATGGATTGGAAGAACAAATACTGTGAAAATGTCTATGCTACCTAGAGCAATCAACACATTTAATGCAATCCCTATCAAAGTGTCATCAATTTTTTTCAAAGAAATGGAATAAATAATACTAAAATTTATATGGAACCAGAAAAGACCCCGAATAGCCAGAAGAATGTTGAAAAAGAAAGCCAAAGTTGGCGGCATCACAATTCCAGACTTCAAGCTCTATTACAAAGCTGTCATCATCAAGACAGTGCGGTACTGGCACAAAAACAGACAAACAGATCAGTGTAACAGAATAAAGAGCCCAGAAATGGACACTCAACTCTATGGCCAACTAATCTTCGACAAAGCAGGAAAGAATGTCCAATGGAAAAAAGACAGTCTCTTCAACAAATGGTGTTGGGAAAACTGGACAGCCACATGCAGAAGAAGAAACTGGACCATTTCCTTACATCACACACAAAAATAGACTCAAAGTGGATGAAAGACCTCAATGTGAGACAGGAATCCATCAAAATCCTTGAGGAGAACACAGGCAGCAACCTCTTTGACCTTAGCCACAGCCACTTCTTCGTAGAAATATCGCCAAAAGCAAGGGAAGCAAGGGCAAAAATGAACTACTGGGACTTCATCAAGATCAAAAGCTTTTGCACAGCAAAGGAAACAGTCAACAAAACCAAAAGACAACTGACAGGATGGCAGAAGATATTTACAAATGATATATCAGATAAAGGGCTAGTATCCAAAATCTATAAAGAACTTATCAATCTCAACACCCAAAGAACAAATAATCCATTAAAATCAGACAAGACAGATATAAAGACAAGAAATTTTGTTCAAGGCACAGGGAAACAAGTCAAAATAATAAAAGAATCAACACATCAGGTAGATATAAAAATTCTAGATATTTTGTGCCTGATAGTAAAATTTCAAAACATAGGCAGCAAAAACTGACAGAACTAAAGTGAGAAATAAAGCAATCCACAGTCATGACGGGGGATGTTAACATGCTGCTCTTGATAATTGGTAGAACAAAGAGACAATAATATAGAAATGATCTGAGTTATACTACCAACCACCTTAACTTAATTGGTATTTATAGAACACTATTACTTAAAACTGCACAAGACACATTTTTTTCTAAGTGCACATAGAACATTCACCAAGACAGAATATAGGATGGGACATAAAGCAAGTTTCAACAGATGTCAGAAGAATGAAATCTTACAGGTTATGTTATCTGACCACAACAGAATTAAAGTAGAAATAGTAAGTATAAGACATCTAGAAGATCTCCATATATTTGGAAATGAAGCATTTCATTTATCTAAATAATCCATGGGTAAAAGAAGAAACCACAACAGGAATTTAAAAAGTTGAATAGAATGAAAATAAAAACATAAATCATTTGTAGGATGCAGCTAAAACAGTGCTTGCAGAAAAAGCTTATAGCTTTACACGTTTATATTAAAGAGAAGAAAAAGGTCTAAATCAATGATCTAAAATTACTCTATTTAGGAAACTAGAAAGAGAGGAACAAATTAAACTCATGTGAGTAGGACAGAAATCAAGTTAGGAGCAGAAATCAATGAAATGGGAAAAGAGATGAGTAGAAAAATCCAGTGAAACCATCAGTTTAGTTTTTTTAAATAAGACCCAAGTGGGGGCACCTGGGTGGCTCAGTGGGTTAAGCCTCTGCCTTCAGCTCAGATCATGATCTCAGGGTCCTGGGATAGAGCCCCACATTGGGCTCTCTGCTCAGCGGGAAGCCTGTTTCCCCCTCTCTCTGACCACCTCTCTGCCTACTTGTGAGCTCTCTCTCTGTCAAATAAATAAATAAATAAATAAAATCTTAAAAAAAAAAAAAAAAGACAAGAGTTACCAATTTCAAGAATCAAAGAGGGATCCATCATACATCTATGGGTCCACTGATTATTGACAAAGTGATAAGACCATTCAATGGGGAAAGAGTAGTCTTTTTGATCAATGGTATTGAGTAAACTGCATATTGACACATAAAAGAATGAAGTTGAACCCCTATCTCACACCATATATAAAGATAAACTCACAATGGATCAATGATCTGAATGTCAAAGCTAAAATGATAAAATTCCTAGGAAGAAAACACTTGAGGAATGTGGCTGTACCAATTGTTTGCCTTACAAGGAATGTAAACGGAGTACCTTAAAAGTTGCCTACATTTCAGACTTGAGTAGAGCTCAGTTGGTGGAGTTTATAGAAGTCAAACAGTACATGGCTACTGGAAAAATATGTTAACATAAAACATGAAGGAGAAACATATTAAATTTGTCCCATGGACTACATCTGCTGTTCCCACAGACTAGAACATTTCTCACTTCACTCTTCCCTCACACTTTACCTAAACTCATGAAACCACTCTCTGGAGAACCTTCATTGTTCCCAAATATTAGGTTAGACTGCCCCTGTCATACAGTTCATAGCACCGTGAATTTCTTGCTAACACTAAGCATGCTTATATTGAGACCATTTGTCCTCTATCAGTCTTCCCTATGGGTGACAAGCTCCAAAAAGCAAGAAGCCCAATCTCTCTTTGCATAGCTGCAGGCCTAGTATGCAGCATAGAGCCTGGCACATGGTAGTAAGTAAACATCTATAACTGAATGGATGGACTCCTGCCTTGGTCTGCACTTTCTCCACTTCCCCCACCCTGAGAATTCCGAGCCCACATATCTGTAATGGGGAATTATAGGGCGGGCCTTCAGGCCAGAGCAGACTGCATCCCACCCTCCCATCTGTGCCCCCGAGGAAACAGGTAGAGAAGCAGAAGAGTCACCTTGTTGTAGGCCAGGCTAAGGTACCTCAGCTCTGGAAAGGGTGGGGCCAGCGTCTGGTTCCTGGCCTTCAGTGACTTCACGGGAAGAATCTCAAATATGGGAGGAAGTGCACATACCTTGGTTGCCTTAGAAGGAAAAAAGGTCTATTGTCAAAGTGTCCTGATGATACGAGGCTGAATGCTGCCAAGGGCCATTGTGGCACCTTCCTATAGAGGGTGATGGAAAGAATGACCATTCTAGAGAGTCTTGGCCAAAAGAGACATCTAGGATCATAATGGGAGATGTTACCAAGGGCCCAGAGTTCTGATTCCAAGTTCCCTGAGGTCACATGGTGATCTAATTCTACAGCATCCAAAGTTCAGGTTTCAAGTGCTCTAAGACCAAATGATAACAGAGCAGTGATGGAGACATCAGAAGTTCTTTGCCCCCACCCCCCACTTTCTGCCCTATAGCAGCTTATCCTGAAATGGCTCTTCTCTACATCTGGGCTAAAATTTCTCCAAAAGTCAAAAGGACAGTGCTTGCATTTTATTTTACTTCTCTTTTTTAAGACTTTTTTATTTTTAAGTCATCTCCACACCCAACGTGGGGCTTGAACTCACCACCTTATCAAGAGCTACACACTTTTCCAACTCAGCATCTACTTACATTTTAAAGGGGACTTTTCCTAGTGGGGAGTAGGAGAGCACGAGGGATCTGAGTCTTGAGTACCTGGTCTGATGGGTTAGCTCACACCCTACAATGGAGGCTCTTCATTCCAGGATAAATCAATAGCTAAATCCTGGATGACTTCAAGCAGTCTGGGCCTGAATGTGACTTGGTGCACCCGGGTCACTTGCAAGTCGTGGTTTTTCAGCACAACCCAGCCTGCCTCAGGATCAACATGTTTCATTAAGCAGAAAATAAAACTTACTGGATTAACCGTGCCTGGCTCAGTTCACTCACCGATTCCTTGAGTTAGATGGGACCAGAGGAAATTACAGGGTAGATGCTGGGCTAATCACTGGGTTCAAATGAACTGGATTGTTCTAAGCTCCATTAATTGCTGTGTAATCTTGAGCAAGTCACTTAAATTTCACTTGTTCATTCAGTGAACATTAGCAGAGCACCTACTTGGAGCCAAGTATTTTGTGCCCTCCTAGGGTCCAACCTGTACACCCACACAAGTGGGACAGGTGAGTGATGGGTGAGAGTAAACAAAAACCAGTGTTGGTGCTTGGGAACGTCTAGCATTCTCCCCTTCAGGTGATCCAAATGCAATCTGCCAGACACCACAGTGGAAAGTGGTGGCACTCTGGTAAGGCAGACTCCTCCACCGTGCAATTCCCTATGCGGAGCAAGGCTGTGTGTCCTGCAGTTAGACTGCACTACCCAGGGGCGTGAGTGTCCTGACCTGAGGGCCTGGGGGATACATACTTGACTTTTACAGACAGGGGCCACTACAAGTCTCAACCATCTAACACACTTGACTACACACTCAGATGCCAGGGAGTTGGGATCTGAGCACTGAACCACCACCAATTATCTCTGACTTTTGTGGCAGACTGTTTAATGGTCCCAAGTCCCTCTAGGCCATATGTATGCCCATGGGCAGTGTGACCTTGGTGCTCCTCTCATTCAGAGGTGGAGTCTGTATCTCTATGCCCTTGAAACTAGACTGGCTATTGTATAATAAAGAACTTGGTCTCCGTCACAGGTTTTTAACACGGAAGCTTTCAAAACTCTTGAAATTTCCTGAGTGATAGGAATGCCTTTGTTATTCGTAAGCCCTGGGTTCACATTTAAGCTTATGCTAATGAATGACTCAGGATGGAGGCTGGCGGTACCTGAAAGACAACCCCTCAATTACAGAGTTGGGGTTTTGAGCCAGCTTCACCTCAGGCAAGGGGAGGGGCTAGAGATTAAGTTCAGTTCTGTGGCCAATGGTTCAGTCATCCATGCCTATGTAGTGAAGCTCCAAAGAAATCTCTGGACACTGAGGCTTGAGTGAACTTCCTGATTGGTGGACACCAGACGTAGGAGGGTGACACACCCAGATTCCACAGAGAGAGGGCACAGAAGCTCTGCATTTGGGACCCTCCTGGACCTCACATTATGTATCTATTCATTTGGTTGGTCCGGATTTATACCCTTTGTAGTAAAACTGTGATCATAAGGACTGTGCTTTCCTGAGTTCTATGAGTTGTTCTAGTAAATTATTGAGCCTGAGAAGGTTGTGTGAACTCCAGAATTTATAGCCAGTTTGTCTTAAGTGCGGATCACTTGGGGACCCCCAAATTTGCAGCTAGCGTCTGAAGTGAGGGCAGTCTTGTTGTGGAGTGTGCCCTTCACTTGTGGGGTCTGTGCTATCTCCAGGTGGCTAGCGTACAGAATTGTACATACAGAATTGTACCTATTATACTTATGACTTGCTTTGACCAACAGAATGTGGCAGAAATGCCACCACTTGAATTCCAGAGCCTTGCAATTCACTCTTGCCCTCTTGGAACCCTAAGGCCACCATGCTGTAAAGAAGTTCATAATAAAAGGGACTCCATATAGGGGCGACTGGGTGGCTCAGTGGGTTGGGCCTCTGCCTTCAGCTCAGGTCATGGTCTCGGGGTCCTGGGATCGAGCCCCGTGATGGGCTCTCTGCTCGGCAGGGAGCCTGCTTCCTCCTCTCTCCCTCTGCCTGCTTTTCTGCCTACTTGTGATCTCTGTCAAATAAATAAATAAAATCTTTAAAAATAAATAAATAAATAAATAAATAAATAAATAAATAAAAGGACTCCGTATAGATGCCAAGCCATACCAGCTGTCCATGAACCCAGGCCCCAGTGAACCAGCCAGCTGGATGAATGAGCCCTGGCAAAACCAATGGAACATCTAACCAGCACAAATGATTGTGAGAAATAATAAATTGCTATTGTTTTAAGTCCTCAATTGTTGGGTTGGTTTGTCATGTGGCAACAGTTAATTGATAGAACTTCTCACCCAGCTTTATCCATGGGGAGGGAGTGTACTGAGGTGCCTCTCAAGGATGTGGGTTGGCTGAACATGAACCTGTACTTCTTATTATAAATGAATAAATCAAATAGTGATCAGTCCTCGTGAGCTTGGTTGGTAAGCATCTAACCCTGAGAGAAAAACCAATTTTCTGTCCAAACAAAAATCAAGCATCTAAGCCTATCAAACCAAGGATCAGAGCCTAGATGGTGGTGTATTTGGCAAGGATGAGCCTAGCTTTTGGGGGCATTTACTAGGGAGTCCCCAAGGCTCCATATTGGTGGCAACCTCACCACTGTATGTGCATAGGCCAGAGCAGTGCCAGGCACATGGTAGGTACTTGGTAAACACCAATGAACAGGCTTCTTCAGTGTGATATATATAAATGCCGCTCATGGGTTAATTAGCTTACTTTTGTTTTTTAAAATTAATGTTCTAACTTAAGGACACAAATATAAAACAGGCAGTTCCTACCTCCGATGTTGAAAATCCAGGGTAAGATGAGAACACAACCTCTGAAACAAAAGAGAAACAGAACGAAGGTTGGTGAGTGTACTGACTGCCCCCAGAGAGGCTGGGGTCTGGCTCACCCAACCTCTGTGTACAGGAGGGTGACCCCTAGCGGAGTTCTCATTGGTCCTCATCTCTAACGCTAACTGGGAAGAGGAGCTGGCTGTGATACTTGTCAGGTGGTGAGTTGCACTTAGAATAAAATCAAAACTCCTCGGCCAGGCAGAGGTCCTGCCTGATCTGGCTCCCACCTACTGCTCCAATCTTATCTCATGCCACTCTGTCCTTCACTCACTACATTTCAGCCACACTGATCTTCCTTCTGACTTTGCAACAGGCAAGCTCTTTTAGCATCAGTACTGTTAGGCGGACAGATAGTATTGATCAGAGAAGGCAAACCAACTGTCTAAGGATTTGAAAGTACTCTTGGTTTTGCTAGTAGAAACAGAATGTTAAGACAGTGAATTCAGCAGAGATACTAAGAATAACTAGCAGCACGGCAGTAAGGAAGAGGCTGTGGAGTGATTTTTGTTCTCGGCATCATCGGAATGAGATGGGCCAATAAACATCTGAGTTCAACCATACATCAAAACATCTTCTTGGACTGGATCCTGTGCAGGCACTACTCACCACTGCCCTGGCTAACAGGACCCCTTGCACATGTTAATGATATTATACTGATAAAAGTTACATGAAAATGAAGTAAATAATAACAGGGGTGGAACACCACATGGCCCAAATAACTTCTCCTATGACAAGTGGCTGTAAAGGACTGGAGGATGGGTTTGTACAAGAAACAAAGTAGGAGTCAGCAAGAGGATGGGCCATGGTTGAAGTATGGCTGCTAAAGAGTGATCCCCTGAGGAGACAGCCCCCATACCTAGAAAGATGAGCCACGGGATACTCTGCCTGAATGCATATCTTCTCCCTATAATCTCAGGTTAGAAAGGTTATTGGATACAAGTACAAAATTTCTATGTAGCAGTAACAAACAAGTGGAAATGTAATATAAAAAAATAGTACCATTAACAATAGCGTTGACAAAGACCAAATACTTAAGAAAAAATCTAATGAAAGACATGTAAGACCTCACCACTGAAGACTACAAAGCACAGATGAGAACAATTTTAAAAGACCTAAAACATGGTGGGATATATTATTTTAATGAATCAGAAGACTCAATATTGTAAAGATGTCAATTATCTCTAAATTGGTCTATAGGATCAATATAATTCTTTTATCTTTTTTTTTATTTTTTTTAGAGAGTGAGAGTGAGCAGGAGACGGGAGGAGGGGCAGAGGACAAAGGAGAGAATCTTAAGCAGACTCCACAGCCAGTGTGGGGCCCAACCTCACAACCCTGAGGTCATAACCTGAGCCAAAATCAAGAATTGGACGTTTAACTGACTGAGCCATGATCAATACCATTCTAATCAAAATCCTAGCAGGATTTTGTGTGGAAATTGACAAGCTGATTCTGAAATTTATATACAAAAGCAAAGGCTTTATAATAGCTATAGCAGTTTTTAAACAACGCAGCTAGAAAACTTCACTATCAGTTCTCAAAATGTATTACAAAGCTACAGTAATTTATTTTTTTTTAAAGAGACAGTGAGCATGTGCACAGGAGCAGGGTGGTGGGAGGGGCAGAGGGAGAGAGAGAATCCCAGGCAGGCTTATGCCCAGCACAGAGCCCCACATGGCCCCGAGATCATAACCTGAGCAGAAATCAAAAGTCAGATGCTCAACAACTGAACCACTCAAGAGCCCCTAAAGCTATAATAATGTAGACACGTATAGACCCCACCTTATCATAATACCTCTCTTATAACTCAGTGGGGAAAAGGATATCGTCTTTTCAACAAGTGGTACTGAGGCAATTAGATATCCATATAAAAAAGTAAGCTTTGACTGTACTTCACATCGTATATGAAACTGTTAGGTCATAGATCAAAATTTAAAAACTAAAATAATCAAGCTTCCAGAAGAAAATATAAGAAGATACCTGCATGGCTTGAAGTAGACAAAAAATTCTTGAACAGGAAATAAAAAGCACTAAGCATAAAAGATTGAACTGAACTTTTATCAAAATTCATCAAGAACATGAGAAAACAAGCTACAGACTGCGAAAAGATTTTTGTAATATATAGATCTAGGAAGGACTTGTACCTAGCACATATAAAGAACTCAAAAGAATCAACAAGAAAAGGACCTATAACTCAATTTAAATAGAGGCAAAAGATTTGAATAGGTACTTCCAAAAGAGCATATCAAAGTGAGGAATAAACATATGAAAGGCACTTAAGATCATTAGTCACCTGGGACACCTGGGTGGCTCAGTGGGTTGAGCCTCTGCCTTTGGCTCAGGTCCTGATCTCCAGGTCCTGGGATGGAGCCCTGCATCGAGCCCTACGTGGGGCTCTCTGCTCAGCAGGGAGCCTGCTTCCCTTCCTCTCTCTCTGCCTGCCACCCTGCCTACTTGTGATCTCTCTGTCAAACAAATAAATAAAATCTTAAAAAAAAAAAAAAAGATCATTAGTCACTTAAGAAATGCAAATTAAAACCACAATGAGATTATGGACACCCCATAATCTGGGGACAGCCATAAGGGGACACCCCCTCTCTGGGGAGCACCCAGAAATGAAATCTCTTACATTAATATAGGGATCAAAATTCTACAACTGCACTGGAAAAATACTTGGCAGTTTTTACTAATGTTAAACATAACTTTATACTCTATGACCCAGCAATTCCATTCCTGGGTATATACCCAATAGAAACAAGTGCTTATGTCCACCAAAAGATGTAAAAGAATATCCATAGTAGCTTTATCCATAATAGCCTCAAAAATAAAAATAACCAAAATGTCTATCCTTCTTACTCTGTAAGAATGGTAAATAACTTGGAATACCGCAAGAGAAATGAAAAATAGTGAACTACCAATATATGCAACAACATGAATGAATTGGACAGACATAATGTTGAGCAAAATAAATCAGACACAAAAGAGCACATGCTGTATAATTCCATATTCATAAATTTCAAATCAGGCAAAAGCTATCGCTGGTGACGAAGTCAGAATGGTGATTATTCTTGGAGGAGGGACTGATCAGGAGGATACCACATGGGATGCTGGAAATGTTCTATATTGTAATACGGGTGGTGGTTAAAAGGATGCATGTTTGTAAAAATTCAGGCTGTACACAATACTTTTATATGTTTAAGTTGGTTATTTCTCAATTTAAAATAAATATTAAGAAAACCCACTGTGATACTGGCACAGTAACAGGTAACTAGATCAGTAAAGCAGAGTATATAATCAAGAAATACTCATGTATTAAAGAGATTTTGGTTTCTAATAAAGGTGACATTCCTTTCCTTTTCTGCCTCTAATGTTGCCATTTGGATGTAATTCTTGGCACCATGGTAGTGATCTTGAGACCTCAATGGGACCCAGCCTACAAGGACAAGCAAGCAGGGCAAGGATGGCAGAAGAGGATAGAAAGAACCTGAATTCCTTGAGAAGATCAGAGCACCTCAGAATTAGCCATCTCTGGAAAGCCTCACTTCTGAGTTACTGGCTATTTTAGATTTTTAAAAAGCTACTTTTAACTGGATTTTAAAAGGGTCTTTTTTTTTTAAAGGACCTTTTTAATTTTTTAAAAAGATTTTTATTTATTTATTTGACGGGGGGTGGGGGGGGAAGAGAGCCCGATTTAGGGACTTAATCCCAGGACCCTGATATCATGACATGAGCCAAAGGCAGAGGCCCTTCTAAGCTGTTAGAAGATTATTCCCACCAGGGCTTGAATCTCTGGAACAAGGGGCATCACTCACCTGTCCGGTCAACATCCTTTTTCATGGGCAGCACAGTATAATCTGGTTGCTCATCAGAGGCCTCAAACATCCATGACTTGGGCTGTCGCATGGAATGGAGCTCTTTCTGCGGACACCCCCTGCCTCCAACCCAGTCCCCTGACCCGTCGCGGAGCTGAAACTGCTGTAGGTACGGGATCCGGAAAATCCTGTTTTGGTCCAGGCTTAATTTCTTCAGTCTTCAATTAAGGAAAGTGAATACAGAATCACAGCAATAATGATACTTCAGGGGCATTTACTAAGCAACTGGAGGGAAAGAACATGGATTCAGGCTTGGACACTTATTCCTCTGGTGTGACCTTGAGCCAGTGACTTACCCTCTCGGGGCCTCAATATCCCTATCTCTAAAATGGGGATAATATTCATTAATCTTTCAAGGTTCCTGTAAAGATGAATAAAACAATGTAAATGGCTAGGCACAAAGTAGTATTCAGTAAAGGGTACCTGAATCTAAAGTAAATTTTCCAGGAATCTAAAGCTTAACCATTTAAATGTCAGCATTTTCCGTAATTTAATCAAATACGTAGAATTCAGCAGGTAACCTTATCTTTCTGATTCCTTTTTTTTTTTTTTTTTTTCTTTTCTGTCCCCTCTCTCAAGGGTCAGGAGCCTATCTCTGGTAATATCTCCTTTTACCCTCCTTTCTCTTTGCCACTTCTAATCCAGACACTTGATCAGAAATGTCCTACTGATGCCCCACTTTTATGGCTGAGCTAAAGCTCGGAGGGGAGAAGTGAATCACCCATGGCCACACAGGAGAGATAAGTGGTGGAGCCAGGATTTAAACCCAGGCCTTTCGGATTCCAGAGCAGCTCAGGGTATGGGCCAGGCTGGGGGTGCAGGTGGCCCTACAGAGAGGGGACTATTGCTTTACCTTCTGAGTCCGGCCAGGCTGGCAAAGCAGTTGGGGCTGCTGAGCCTGTTGTCATCCAGCATCAGTGTCTCCAGCGCTGGGAACCTCAGGATGTACCTCCTGCTTGTCAGTGATGTTACAGATGCTTCCCTGTGAGTGCAAGGATCCTGGGTAATAAGCAAGGGAAGGGGACAAACTCTACCATCCCCAGGAAGCAGGAACAGGGATAGGAAGAGATAAAGGACAGGGAATCAATCAAGAGGCATAACCAGCTTGGGAACTTCTCTAGTGCCCCTGAGACATCCCTGCAGAGAGGGACCAGAAGGTGTAATTTCTTCCCCAACTGACCTTCTTCCCCAAATCCCACTTACACATCAGTCTTCTGTATGGAGAAAGGTTGCACATATTCACAGATGGACTCAGTGAGACTGGGTTGGGGCAGGATGGGGCCACTAGGAATGCTCGTGGAAAATAAAAGAGTGACCAAGGCATGACCAAGTTGAGGGAAAACATTCTGCAGAAAGAATACTGAACACTTTTGGGTCAGGTCCAACTCCTGGGTATGCTGCATCACCCCGAGTATCAGCAACCATAGGAGCATCAGGAGACAGAGCCCTTGGCATGGACCACAGCTTTGGTTCATGTGGGGTAAGGCAGGCTGGCCACAGTGATGCTCTTCTCTAAAGTGACTTGATAAAATGCACACATCAGTAAGGACCTGCAAAGTCTCTTAAAACTCAAACTCTCTGAGGAGTCCCAGAAACACCTGAGATGGAATTCCATGGGCTGAGATCCTGAATCACACTGGTGGGGCAGGAAGTTCTGGTATTTTAGATACTACCATTAATGTGGCCTGACTTATGTCCCCAGGTGGATGAGACCTAAGTAATACTTTATTTTTTTTCAACTTTTTATTTTTTTTAAGATTTTGTTTTTGTTTTTTTTTTTAAAGATTTTATTTATTTATTTGACAGAGATCACAAGTAGGCAGAGAGGCAGGCAGAGAGAGAAGAGGAAGCAGGCTCCCTGCTGAGCAGAGAGCCCGATGCAGGGCTTGATCCCAGGACCCTGGGATCATGAGCTGAGCCGAAGGCAGAGGCTTTAACCCACTGAGCCACCCAGGCGCCCCAAAGATTTTGTTTTTTTAAGTAATCTCTACACCCAACACGGGGCTTGAACCTATAACCCTAAGATCAAGAGTCATGCTCTACCAAGTGAGCCAGTCATGTGCCCCTAGGTAAATTCTTTTTAAGTATACAAAGGCAGATGACTCAAATCATGTTTTCATTCCTCCCTCCAACTCTCTCCCCTCCATACACCCAAATGAACACTCAACACACTCAACCAAGAAGTAAAGAAGCCTTTAGTTGATGGTATTTGAAGGTCACAGATGACTCTCTTCCTCTCCTGAAAGAACCAACTTTCATGCACTAAATTTTTAATTTTTACCACAGAGCAATTACAGGAGGGTACATAGCAGCTCTGTTACTTATAATTAATTGACCCATCTCTTTTTTACTCCAGTCAGATGTGAAAGAGCTAAAAAATAAGCCTTTAAAAAAATTCCCCTTACACCCCATAATGGAGAAGCTCTATCCTGTCTCTTGTGACAAGTTATAGTGTTTTGCCTTTTACAAGTTTCACCCTAATTATAACATATAAAGCTTCATTTTGTCTCCAAAACAGATGTTTTAAAATAGGGGGGAGTCAATGAGTGGGTAAGGAGGACAAGATGCAAAGCTTCAGAGGACAGCATCAGGCTCTTCCACTGGGTCCTTCCCAAGGCAGTTTTGGAAGAAGAGCTCTCTGAAGTGCCAGGAGTCTATTAGTGTGGAGAGGTTGAGGTTTCTGGCTGTTCTGAGTGATGCTATTTTTATTATACCTTCTCTTGGCAAAAGGAATTAATAGCATTTAAAATATGATAGATTTGACTAATTTTTTTTTAAGATTTTGTTTATTTATTTGACAGAGAGAGAGATCACAAGCAGGCAGGGAGGCAGGCAGAGAGAAGAGGAAGCAGGCTCCCCGCAGAGCAGAGAGCCCGATGCGGGGCTCGATCCCAGTATGCTGGGATCATAACTGAGCCAAAGGCAGAGGCTTTAACCCACTGAGCCACCCAGGCGCCCCAGATTTGACTAATTTCTTTAGAAGCTAAGAGTATGCCCCAGTGACTGGATTCAGGAATGGGAACTGGTGTGCTGGATCAGAAGAAACTTGGGAATGGGGTCAGCAGCCCTGGCCTCTCATTCTGGCGCTGCTGCTGTTTGGTTTGCTGGGTAACTTTAAGTTGGTGCTGAGCGTCTCTGGTCCCGGTCAGTTCTATCTACATGATGAAAGAGGATGTCTTTTATTTCACGTTGTAAGACTTTGCATGAGGCTAAAAATATTGCTGAACAAATTGGACAAAGAGCTGCAGTAAAACAGATGAAACTGAGCAAGTGGTAATGTCCATGAAAATGTGAGGTCAGCTTCTGTGGTAAGATATAGAAAATGCACCATGCAAACACAGGATGCAGGAGATGTAGCTTCCCAACCCACTTGTGTAAAAGAGGACTTATGACGTGGCTGCTAAAAAAGCTGGCACTCCTTTAGGAGGCATTTTGAGGAAAACAGTGGTTAGAAAACAGAAGGTAACCATCCCCCTCTACTCTGTGCTGGTCAAGCCTGGGGGGCGGACTTGTACAGTCCAAGGGGGGACAGGGAATGGGCCACATGGGAGACCCAGAGTCTCAGATGCCTATCCAAACAAGTAACAGTTAGGCTGATGATGGAATAGCTCAAATACAATCCCCCTAACTCACCCAGACATTGTCATGTGATCGATCCGGAAATGGAGACACAAATAGTTCAGAGTAGATGAGCTATGTGGTGAAATGGAAAAAAGTGAAGAGAAAGGAGAATGCAGAAGCAGAGAGAGTCAGGTCATGAAAAGCCTTGTGATCAATGTTAATGGTGTTTATCTTTAGAATGCCGAGAAGCTGCCGAAGGACTTCAAGCAGGGCAGTGATTGAATCAGAAGTGCTTTTAGAAACATCCCTCCAGCCGATGATGAAGAGGGTTGGTTAGGAGGTGATAAGGAGAAAGAAAAATGTGACAGGTCATTAGCTGTATCCCAAGTATCAGGGGCTGTGTTGATGGGCTACAGAAAGGGCCAAGTTTGAGAAACATTTAGGAAGCACAACTCATTGCCTCCAGTGACTGAATGGATGTGCAGGGTGAGGGACGGAAGAATGCAGACTGATGCCCATGTTTCTCACTTGGGACAACTGCACAGTTGATGGACAGCGGCTCCTGTCACTGAGGCCAGGGACATAGGAGGAGGAGATCTCAGCACGGGCATGTGTGTGATGACTTTGGTATGATTAAGTAAAATATATGGGCTCATAGCTCAGAAGATGGATGTGAGGTAGAGATATAAAGAAGACTTGGGAAAGGATGAAACCACAAAGAAAGATTATAAAAATTAAGAAAAACAGTGGGTCGAGAGTGGACAACTGAGGACCATCAACATTTAAGAAGTTGGCAGAAGAAGGGGAATCCACAGAACATTCTTGTGTGGACAGAGAACTAGGAAGAAAATAACAGTTTGTTTGGAGCCTCACAGCTTTCAAAGCACAATTATTTCAATTGATACTCTGATGTAAATAGTAGTACATTTATTCTCCCCTTATATATAAGGAAATAGAAATACCTAGTGGTGAAGACTTGCCTTGAATTATGCAACAAGACTTCCCACTGAAAACAACTAAAATGATTAAGAAAACCTAAAAAGAAAAAAGATTCATTATTTTAAAACATGTAAGAGATGTGAAGACAGTAAAGCAGTCATATGCCAAAATCTAAAAATCCAGAGACAGAAACCAAGCACAAGAAGCCTTTTTAGACACTTGCTGATCTTGCTGAAATAGCATGTAATTGGAGATCCCCTACAAGAAGGTAGGATCCTAAACAGATATACACTCAGGAGAGTGAGAACTAGCACTAAACCCACACTCCTCATCCCACAGCTAGGGTAAAACTACCTTGGAATGAAAAGAAGGGAAGGGGGAGGGTAGATTTGTCCTTGTGCAAAATTGTAGCCCAAATTTGTATCATCGGAATGGCTCAGAGAATATCCAGCTAGTTTGGTTTAGTTTAAAATGGTTCCATACTGAGTGCCCCTAGGCACCTGGCCAAAATAAATGGAAAAGTTTATGGTATTGCAGACTAAATAATTGGGCCAACTCTCTGAGTATAAACTAGAAAATCCATACAAAATATATATATTAAAAACAATTTTCTTTGAGGTATCTGGGAACTAACAAGCTGTGAGAAGTTAGGGGGCTAAGATCAAAGGGGATTCTGCAACATTTGGGGTCTCTTTTCCCCTAGGGCTACCTGCTGACTCCAGAAGTGGCAGACAGGCTGAGATCTAAGCAGAGATTCTGACAACCTTGCTAGTCTGGGGGCCAAGAGTCCAGGGTACACCAGAGAAGGGGATTCCTGATAAATTGCCCCTGCTTTAAGTTAGGGCTTTGAAGGACTAAATCCTACAGGAAGGTGTGAACTAGAAATAGTGTGGTCCTTGCAGAGACTGAAGACTAGCTTCAAATAATTATGCGTGAACTATACAGTCAAAAAAAAAAAAAATCGAGCTGGTGAGAATAAAAATGATTTGAGTTGCCCAAAGGGAGAGTCATAGCCTCTTATTCAGTTTCCTATTTCCATTTAATTAAAAACAAGCTTAAATCAAAGTAAAATTTCAGTTCTTCAGTCACCCTGATCATATCTCAAGTGTTTAATATGACTGGTGGCTACCATATTGGACAATGCAGATATAGAACATTGCCAACATTGTGGAAAATTCTATCAGACAGTCCTAAACTAGGCCTTTCAAGGATTACTAGACAATATCTGCAAATCAGTGCTAATGTCTGGGGATATGAAAGGTATGGTGGTCTATCACTCAAAGCAGGGGATTACAGAAGAATGGAAATTTAGCCTGTGAATGAACCCAGTGAAGTCATCAGCCTACTTTTTGGTTATCTCCCCAGTTCCTGAATGGATAATTAGAACAGACATACTAAGCGACTGACAGAATAACCACTTATGTTTACTGACCAACAAAGTGAGGACTATTACAGCAGGAAGGGACAAATTGAAGCCCCAGTTTATCTGCTTCTAGAATAGTAAGCTGAAAGTTATTCTGCATCCCTGAGGTAACTACAGAGACTACTGCCATCACTGAAGACAAGAAAGGTAAAAGGATACTGGGTCTTAGGATATTCCTGCTTAACTTGTTTTATTCGGCTTGTGTAGAGGACAGGTCATGAAGAATGACTATAGATTACCGCAGACTTAATCAAGTGGTGACTCCAATTTCAGCTGCTGCCCCACATGTGGACTCTTCTTACTACAGTACATCAACACAGCCCCTGGCATTTGCAATACAGCTAAAGACCCATCAAATGTTTCTTTCTCTTTACTGGTGAATAAGAACTGCCAGGAGCAGTTTGCTTTTGCCTGACGGGGACAACAGTACATCTTTGCCCTCTTCTCTCAGGGCCACATCAACATCAACTCTTCCACCTACATAATCTATTACACATCTATTGCTAATCCGCTTTGGTATTCCACAGAACCTCATGTTGACTGGACCTGATGGGCAGGAAGTTGCAAATATTCTAGACAATTTAGTAAG